TTGATAGTCAATAGCGGACACCGCCTTGAAGTCACAATTTTTGGCCAAGGATATAAGCCTCTGAACAAACTGATCAACATCTTGACTGGTGTCTTGTTTGCAAGTTTGTAGAAGATGGCGGACATAAATTATATTCTTAGGACGAACGTACAACTTTTCAAGTGTACTGATAGCTGATTCGTAATCTAGACAGTCAGCGATATAAACGTATACCGGTGCATCCGCAAAATCGGCCAGTGTTTCGAGTTTATTTAGATTGGGCGATTAGACAGTGCCCAGAAACGTTTGGAAGATTTGGAACCAATGATTCCAGCGCGTTGTTGCGTCTGGAGAATTAGGATCTGCGTCGAAATACTTGGGTCGCAGCAACGGTTCCATTGTATTTTTAGGCAAGTAAATTGTTACGAATAGAATATCGATTCTGATTGAGCGCGAGAACAAGAATGAATAGCGTAGAATGAATAGCGCTTTACTTGTCTAAGAATAGACGTACATAAGCTGAAAATGAAGGCGAAAGCATGTTTAATACAAAACGATAATGTGAGCACAAAGAATATTCATGACACCGGTTTGTTCGGAAATTCGGGATGTGACCTGGGGAACGAGGTCTGAGAAGCATTCAACTTGATGAGGACGCTCAGCAACACCGCCAAACTATAGTCCCAGCCACCACACGCAACTTAGGATTCAGTGCCCTATCAAGTAAAGAAAAGGAAGCAGCGAACAAGCTAAAGACAAGCTGACAAGGGACGCCCGAAGGTTACCACAGAAAAGCCGGACTCCATTGATAAAGCGAACACTTTATGAACGACACGACTACGTATGGCAGCATCGAGAATGACCGAAGCAAAAAACTTGCGAACAAAACCAGTAGAAAACTAAGGAACGTCAAAGGGTGACAAGAGATGAGTATTGGAAATTGAGCGCTCAGGACCTGGCTGAGTTCCGTTCTACGGACTCCCGAAAGTATACAAAAAGACAATACCGCTGCGACCAATCGTATCGCCCTCGGGGACTCAAACCTACAACCTGTCGAAAGAAGTGGGGAGGAGGTCGAAATATCTCAGCAGTGGGTCACAACAGTCAGTCAACAACGCGCGGCAATTCTTGGGGAAACGGAAGAGTATAAGCATCTACGAGGATGAAACAATGGTTTCTCTTGAAGTAAACCCGCTTTTTACATCCGTAGACCTGGGCACCGCCCAGATATCTGTCGCCGAACTACTTGACAGACAGGGCAAACAAAATGGATCGCTGAAAAAAGATGACCTCTGCGAACTGCTCAGCCTGGCCACCTTTTGAGTTAAACGGTGAATGCCGCGAATAACCACGAGGCACACCGATGGGATCCACGATTTCTGGATTTATTGCAGAAGTTGTAATGCAAAAACTGGAACGAAATGTACTTCCGGACATAAACCCCAAGATATGGATCCGTTACGTGAACGATATTTTTGTCATCATCAAAAGGAGTGGACTTCAAAGAACCAGTCAACTGATAAGCAGCGTTTTTTATTAAATCCAATTCACAATGGAAGAAGAAACTGATGGGAAACGTATCCATAGATGTCCTCATCACGAGGTTACCAAACAGAAAACTGCTGATGGAAGTTCACAGAAAAGCGACGTATGCAGACAAGATTCTCAGCTACCACAGCAATCATCCGAACTGTCACAAGCAAAACTGCATCCGGAATATTTTCAAACTTAATTAGGCGCACTGCAAAAGTCAGAAGAAACGCTCGTGCGGGGCTTTCCAGAGGAATGGATACTACGGAAATTTCGTATCGCGGACTCTAAAATTCCAATTCGAACAACCAAACAGTACAAGGAGAAGGCAAACGGATCACACTTCTATGCTCCAGAAATATGTCAGAAATAACCGCACGGTTGCCACGACAGTACAGCGCAACAGTGCCCCACAAACCTTCAAACCCAAAGGGACGATTGGGCACAATGTCGAGGACCAACGCCGTGCACAAGATTCAGTGCGGAGATTGTGACACACTACGTGAGGCAGGAAGGACGCTCTCTACTGGAATATATTTACACAAGCTTACAACCAAAAGGCACGACCAGTTTTCACTCGTCTCCGAGAACGACGATTAAGATGGACACGTTGAACTGGAATACCGTTCACATATTGGCTCAAGCGAGAACAAAGGAAGATCGTGAATTCATGAAAGTATGGCACTCCACTAAAAAAACCATCGACGAACATTGAAATCCACCATTGCAAACAAAAGAATAACGGAACTACAAACACACAGGTGGACAAACTAAAACAAATAAACAAACAGGAAAATCAAGGGGAGCGATCTAAGTTCTCGGACTCTTCCCGACCCAAAGCTGTCACCTTGTCGTGGTGGTCGGGCTTGTCTGCTGCAATGGTCCTGCAGGCTATGCTGGCTGGAACTCACTTCCTAAAGGTTCAACCATGCCAGGAAGGTCAAAGGGGAGCAGCCCGACGAAGAACAACGAGACCCCCTACTGCGAGTAATCGGAACAGACATCCCTTGCTGAAACCTTACTTTCCCTCTCTATCGTTATATGTTGTCTCCGAATCACGCATACAAGACCCCACTTCGATCGTGCTCCTCGAGCCGCTTAGGACGAGCCCAGATGGTCCACATTTCACTCTTCAATCATCCGGTGATTTTGACGCAATGGCTCGTGATATCTGTGGTGTGGGATTTCACCCCCAAGACTGAAGTCGCTTTACTGGACTGAATCTCAGTAAACAGTCGCCTTTGCGCTATGTGTTTGTCTGGCTCAATTGAGATTAACGCAGATTGATGTGGTGAACGGTGTTTGTTTGTAGTATCAGCATACGCCCCAACATGTAGCAGTTCTGAGACTGAGAAGGGCGATTTCTATCGAGATCTGTCACAACTGCTTCGGTCGGCAAGAAGGATGGATGTAGTAATCCTTGAGGGTGATATGAATGCCCAAGTTGGACGACTGTCTGGAAGAAGCACAGTTAAATGGTCGATTTAGAGTCGATGCAGAGCGTACGGATAATGGACAGCGACTTCTTCAGTTGTGTGCAGATCATCGTCTGTTCCTGACCAGTACGAACTTCCAACACAAGCGCACACACCGAGTTACTTGGAGGCCACCTATAACAAGACAATCGTGGACTCAATTGGACCATATGGCAATCAGTTACTGATGGAGAATCTCGGCTAAGGATTGTCATTCCTTCTATGGTACGCAACTTGACTCTGATCACGCCATCTTTCGGGCCCGCTTAGCACTTCGTTTTCTGCCAGCACTACGCGTGCCGAAAGAACAGCTCCGTTCATTAACTTCGACAAGTTCCAGTAGCTGAAGAATATCGAGCTAATCGGAGTAGAAAGTTACGAAAAACTCATGTGGCTGACGAAGACTGCTTGGAAGATTAATGGAGGCGAGTTAAAGAAGCAATGCTGTCCGATTTCAGAACTGTTTGTCCAACCCATCTGACCCGATTCGATGAACACTTGATATTTTTGAGATCAGTAGATCTTATTGCTGCCAGAAAGACCATACCAGCAACTAGCGACTATGATGGCGCACGCAGATCCCTCGAACACCGGATAATGGACTGAGAACGCTGGTGGATTTCGAAGGCCCAGGAGATGGAGAAAGCTTTTGCTGCGGACAACAGCCGCACCCGGTTTCAACTGATCCTATCAACGGGCTAGAAGAAGGCAGGTGTCAGTCAGACAATATGCGAAAAAGACGGAAGAGCAACGCATCCCCTCAATCGCCGTCTTGAGCGGTGAGCTGAGCACTTCGAAGAACAGTTCACCTGGTCTCCTTCAGTACAACTGCTGGAAGAACCAAGCTGGTCCGAACGAAACATTAATACCAACCCACCATCATCAACCGAAATCCAGCGTGAGATTTCAATCCTGAAGCACGGCAAGGCATCTGGCCCGGATGGTCTACATCCCGCGCTTTTCAAAGAAGGTCGGGAGGCCCTTGTGAACAGTCTGACAACTAAACTGCAGAAGATTTGGAATGAAAAACGAATACCAGTCGAATGGAGTTCCTCGACCGTCATCCAAGTTTTCAAAAAGGGAGTAAGGATGTCATGCGAACACCATGGTGGTATCAGCCTCATATCCGTCGTATCTAAAGTGCTCTCTGGCATTATTTTTCGTGGATTGATGGATTATCGGGAGGGACAGATTCGTGAAAATCAAGCTGGGTTTCGCCCTGGTTGAGGATACATCGACCATATCTTTACCTTGAAACAAATTCTTGAAAAGCGCCACTCCTTCAGATGTCCCCCGTTGGTCGTTTATCTTGATTTGAAAGCTGCTTTTGATTCTGTCGATCGTCGGCAACTTTGGCAGTCTGGCGATCAAAGATGTCCCTTCCAAATTTCTATCCCTCATGAGGGTACTTTATGCGAACTCCTGTGGGCGTGTGCGGGCATAAGGGAAGCCTGCTGCAATGGTCCTGCAGGCTATGCTGGCTGGAACTCACTTCCTAAAGGTTCAACCATGCCAGGAAGGTCAAAGGGGAGCAGCCCGACGAAGAACAACGAGACCCCCTACTGCGAGTAATCGGAACAGACATCCCTTGCTGAAACCTTACTTTCCCTCTCTATCGTTATATGTTGTCTCCGAATCACGCATACAAGACCCCACTTCGATCGTGCTCCTCGAGCCGCTTAGGACGAGCCCAGATGGTCCACATTTCACTCTTCAATCATCCGGTGATTTTGACGCAATGGCTCGTGATATCTGTGGTGTGGGATTTCACCCCCAAGACTGAAGTCGCTTTACTGGACTGAATCTCAGTAAACAGTCGCCTTTGCGCTATGTGTTTGTCTGGCTCAATTGAGATTAACGCAGATTGATGTGGTGAACGGTGTTTGTTTGTAGTATCAGCATACGCCCCAACATGTAGCAGTTCTGAGACTGAGAAGGGCGATTTCTATCGAGATCTGTCACAACTGCTTCGGTCGGCAAGAAGGATGGATGTAGTAATCCTTGAGGGTGATATGAATGCCCAAGTTGGACGACTGTCTGGAAGAAGCACAGTTAAATGGTCGATTTAGAGTCGATGCAGAGCGTACGGATAATGGACAGCGACTTCTTCAGTTGTGTGCAGATCATCGTCTGTTCCTGACCAGTACGAACTTCCAACACAAGCGCACACACCGAGTTACTTGGAGGCCACCTATAACAAGACAATCGTGGACTCAATTGGACCATATGGCAATCAGTTACTGATGGAGAATCTCGGCTAAGGATTGTCATTCCTTCTATGGTACGCAACTTGACTCTGATCACGCCATCTTTCGGGCCCGCTTAGCACTTCGTTTTCTGCCAGCACTACGCGTGCCGAAAGAACAGCTCCGTTCATTAACTTCGACAAGTTCCAGTAGCTGAAGAATATCGAGCTAATCGGAGTAGAAAGTTACGAAAAACTCATGTGGCTGACGAAGACTGCTTGGAAGATTAATGGAGGCGAGTTAAAGAAGCAATGCTGTCCGATTTCAGAACTGTTTGTCCAACCCATCTGACCCGATTCGATGAACACTTGATATTTTTGAGATCAGTAGATCTTATTGCTGCCAGAAAGACCATACCAGCAACTAGCGACTATGATGGCGCACGCAGATCCCTCGAACACCGGATAATGGACTGAGAACGCTGGTGGATTTCGAAGGCCCAGGAGATGGAGAAAGCTTTTGCTGCGGACAACAGCCGCACCCGGTTTCAACTGATCCTATCAACGGGCTAGAAGAAGGCAGGTGTCAGTCAGACAATATGCGAAAAAGACGGAAGAGCAACGCATCCCCTCAATCGCCGTCTTGAGCGGTGAGCTGAGCACTTCGAAGAACAGTTCACCTGGTCTCCTTCAGTACAACTGCTGGAAGAACCAAGCTGGTCCGAACGAAACATTAATACCAACCCACCATCATCAACCGAAATCCAGCGTGAGATTTCAATCCTGAAGCACGGCAAGGCATCTGGCCCGGATGGTCTACATCCCGCGCTTTTCAAAGAAGGTCGGGAGGCCCTTGTGAACAGTCTGACAACTAAACTGCAGAAGATTTGGAATGAAAAACGAATACCAGTCGAATGGAGTTCCTCGACCGTCATCCAAGTTTTCAAAAAGGGAGTAAGGATGTCATGCGAACACCATGGTGGTATCAGCCTCATATCCGTCGTATCTAAAGTGCTCTCTGGCATTATTTTTCGTGGATTGATGGATTATCGGGAGGGACAGATTCGTGAAAATCAAGCTGGGTTTCGCCCTGGTTGAGGATACATCGACCATATCTTTACCTTGAAACAAATTCTTGAAAAGCGCCACTCCTTCAGATGTCCCCCGTTGGTCGTTTATCTTGATTTGAAAGCTGCTTTTGATTCTGTCGATCGTCGGCAACTTTGGCAGTCTGGCGATCAAAGATGTCCCTTCCAAATTTCTATCCCTCATGAGGGTACTTTATGCGAACTCCTGTGGGCGTGTGCGGGCATAAGGGAAGCTCTCGCCTGAGTTGACTACGTCCAGTGGTTTAAGACAAGGCTTCTCCCTCTCACCTTTCCTCTTCAACTTCGTTGTTGTTTTGTTGCTTTAAATTTCTCTGCCTGCCTCTGAAACCTCGGGAGTCGAAATGCGCCCCGGACGTTCTCTCACAGACATTGAGTATGCAGGCGATATTGCCCTCCTTGGTTCAGATCCTTTCCACATGCACGCGATTTTGAATAACCTAAATAACTCTGCCGCATGGTTTGGCATGCGCTTTACACCTGCAAAGTGTACAGTGCTGCTGCAAGACTGGGTGGGATCAAACCCACACTCAAGCTTGCAGGTGAGCCGATCGACGTGGTAGATAAATTTGTTTACCTGGGCATCTGTATGAGTATGGCTGGAGATGAGAATATTTCTCGAATCGGAAAGGCTAAGGCAGCTTTCGTCCCACCTCCGACACCTATGGCGCCGACATGACCTGAGTTTGTCTGTCAAGGGAAGAGTTTACACTGGTGGTTTGGTCCATCCTGCTTTATGGATCAGAGACATGGCCTCTGCGCGCAGAGGACATACGGAAGATGTTAGCGTTTGATCGTCGGTGTCTCCGAAGCATTGGTCAAGCCTGGTGGGAACATCGGATCAGTAGTGCTGAGTTACGCTTGATGGTTTTAGAAAGAAGCAATTCTCCTGCGATAGATGAATTGCTCGTGCTTCATAGGTTGCGCTGATTGGGACATGTACTCTGCATGCCAGAATACCGTCTGCCTCACAGAACCCTTTTCTCCCAGCGCTGCGCTGTGTGAAAGTGACCGACAGGTGGACAATGCATGACCTGGCAACGAAGTACGGAAAACACTGACCAGTAAACTTAGTCGGGTGGGCAACTGCCGCTTCCCTGAATGGGGACCTCGGGACTCAAATCACCAGTGGTTAATGACATTGGCGGAAATGGCTTAATCACGCAGTCAGTGACGCTCTCGCATTAAAGCTATCGCCTTCAACGCGTAGCTACCCGATTTCCGATTTCGCCTCCTAGGCTTGGTCGTATGTTCCACTTTCCCGTTTTCCAGTGATCGAAACTGTAGCAGCTGGAACCAGTGTGCCTATGGTACACGGTTTATAGCTGATAATTTGCATTTATTTAATTGGGCTACCATCGAAACAACAAACCGAAGGAGGGTTAAAAATCAATCCACAAATTCACCATCCAACTACAACCGAACTAGCCAATACGAGAAGAAAAACGTTCATCAAACACGCAAGTACCAGCGGCTAAAAACACTCAAGAAGATCGGACTACGGTACAAACTAAGAACAGGCCAACCAGGTTAAAGTTAGGAAACTAACAAAAATAAAAGTTGTCACCACAACCAACCAAACAGAAGGAAAGAGAACCACAAGCCGAGAACGGACCTATCGAAGACGGACCTAATGCACCCCAAAGCAGCGATACAACCAGTCAGTGCAACACGAGGCACACCGACCGCGACTCAGCGCAAATTACGATGGGGCCAATAATGCTACAAGAAGTGGTTTACATTAATTAGCCAGTCACATGAAAGGACATTAGACACTCTTCAAAGATTACATAAACGCGGCTAGGCATGGAAGAAGTGCCCACTCAACTACGCACTGATGGTGTCTCCTCGACTGAGGACGAAACTTTTGCAAGCCAATTGCCAATCTCGGTGAACACTGGCCACACTCGAACTATCTCTATTTCGACACATTGCTAAGAAGACTGGCATATGAGATATCACTTATTGTGCTTGCGGAGTTTTCGGTCGTTGCAGTAGGACCGTGAAATCTTCATAGGAAAATCCACATCATCACCGCTCGCAAAAACACCAGCCCTACTCGTTTTTTGATCTACATTCATTTGATTAGTTGATAAAAGAAGGATGGAACGAGTGGACCAATTTAGCGTCAACCTACTATGGGTACTCTCTGATCATGCATATGAGGGATCACATGAGCTCCATCCTGGAAGGCACCACTCAGGATTTTCATGCCATCATTCGTCCTTTTTGGCTAAGCCATATTTTGTCCATCTCTGGGTTTTACCACCTCGAGAACAACGCTGTTCTCAGTGACTCGACATCTGTAGCCATTAGGCGAGCCAACTAGGCTTCAATGTCGGATGCGTTCCCGGAATAAAACACCTGCTGCACTGTAGCGTCCCATGTGAAAACCAAAGCGAGATAAAGTACCGGTAACCACCAGAATGATTAGGGAAAGTTGAGATACTAAGCGATGGTTCAAACTGCGAAAGTGTGCTCCAGATGAGTAGGGATTTCAGATTTCTCACCGCAGTTTACGCACACCTTCAACATCGAAGTGCCACATCTATTTACACAAATCGTTATACTATATTCTGCTCGTTACCACTCGATTGGGAGGCTGTCAATGTCTTACAGAATGGCTTCTCCGTTAGTTGGTTGTTTCAAATGACCATCCTTTTATTCCAGTGTTGCCTGCGTCCACCATCGTCTTCAAAGTCTCATCGCTCATAATTCACCATCAGAGTGCAAAGGGCTTTTTCGACTTGTCTACGGTTATACTTTTTCAAGTGGTTACTCAAACGCCCGATTGGGTTACATAATTGTTATTTGTCGGTCAGCAAAATGGGGAAGCACCATGGCCACCCATAATCACTCCCCTGGACTGACACCCCATGCTGATGTTGCGGAATTTATGCACAATGTCGAAGCCATTAGCTGTTATTTGTACTAACCAGTCTTTTTTGACTTCCTTCCAGCTTCAATCCTCGTGCAATGTCTGCTCATCGTTATGAGGTTGGACAAAAGCTGTTCTGTTTCGAGCCAGACAGCTCGAAAGCAAAGGTTGTCTATTTGGCGAAGGTAACGTTCACGACCTATTGCCTATTTTCGCATGGCCGTCGACTGTATGTATGTATTGGTTCGGTTTGTGTTGATGTCTGGTCTTAACGTTCCAATTCGTCAGCCGTGTTTATTGGTCCACCAATATGTTCGAAACCTCTGTTTGCCTTTTGGTTACCTTCGCCATTTTTCTCCACAGATCCTCAAACACGTCCACAAAAGATCAAGTGTGCCGTACTACACGGTACATTTTCAGGGTTGGAAAGGTAAATGGGATCGTGAAGTTCCAGAAAACCTGTTATTGGAGAACACGGAGTTCAATAGGATGCTGAAAAAGAAAATTGATGAGATCGTGCGCAATGTGAGTGATACAGCCCAACTCATTTGAATCTCACCCGTTCGCAGGTTCGTTGTCGCGTTAAGCGCAAGCAACGGATAGACCAAATACTCGAAATTGCCGCCGTCAGTGCAGATGATATAGATTGGGATAAAATTCCCGGAATTTGGAACAGTCGACAGAAGAAGCAGAGCCGAAAGAGTCGTTCAGGCAGTGCTGTAACTTTATCAACTAGCGAAAAATCAACATCGGACAGGGGTGCTTTTCTCGGTAGCACATGCTCTGAGGACAGTGATGCGACCACTTTGGATGAGGAAGACACGTTGCAGTTGCAATACGAAACTCTGCCGGTAATTTGTGCACCATTTATTTGCTGAGTTTTCCCTCACAGGTTCATCGGTATTTTACTGTCCCGGTTCAGTTGCCTGTCAACTTGCGCCTGATTCTCGATGCACATTTGAATGGGATCATCGGCAACAGTGAATACGGATGGTGTTCTGTCTTGCAAGTGCTACAGAGCTATGTAGACGGTTTTCCGTATGCACACACATCTTCAATGCCACCAACACAAACTCAAGGTAGCCGCTCGTATTCACCTCCCTTTTTTTGCTTTATCTGGATTTGTGTAGCGGTCAATTTCTTCAGGATTTTCAAGTGAACTTCACTGTGACAAGGGCTCAACATAAAGGATTTCGTTAAGTCTTGGTGTAAATTTGGTCGGTAGTAGAGAAGTTAGTAGTCTATGTGACGCACGTCAAGGATTTCGCCAGATTGGCACAGTCATCTAGGTGTAATTCATTCATCAGTGGCAGTTTTCTGCATCTGACCGATAACTTCGCTTCACTTATGAATGTGGATTTTTGACTGCTTCACTGCCCGACATGCTTGAACGTGGCGCATATCTCGAGGACAAAATCTTGCTCTCACTCAACTGTTATGTGGCTGTGCTAGCTAGATTTATTTGTCTTGTAGACTTATTGCCCGGTAAAATTTTGCTTATGTGACTGGTATTGTTCTGTGTTGATTTCTCCTAGCATCTCGCAACTTAGGAATTCGCTGACCGACCTCGTTGGTAGTTTCGTGTATTCAGACACTCCTTAATATAATTCTTGATTACTTTGCTTTTTTCCAGAACCCCCATGTCCTGAACGCGCTTCTCGGGTTTTGGGACCTGCCTACCTAAAAACGGATCAAAACAGAGTGCTGTGTGCAGATACGTGTTCCAGCCTTCGCGTTTTGTTTGACTGTAATTTGGAGTCCTACCTGCTACCGACGGAACTAAAAGCGGGTTCGAATAAGTGAGTCATCTGGATATTTCCCTCTTTTGCCCGAGCTTTTAGAGGAGGAGGCTGGGTTTCGGTTGAATTTTGGGCCAGTTGTTTGACCATGACTTCGCTAAATTTATCATTCCAATGGCGGACGCCATTCCGTCTATTCAAAGCACGCGAAAGCCTTTCGCATGTGGTGTAGTCCGAACAAGTCAATCGAATTTCGGTTAGCTACCGAGGCCAAGATCACAATGACTCCAAAAGGCATTCCTACTAGCGGATCCGCGAGTAGCTCGCCCAAACTTCAGCCTAAATAAGCTTTTAGTTTCTTGGCTTTTTGCAGGATGCCAGTCTCTGGTCGTGGATTTGGATATGTGACAACAAATTACTTGAGAATTTGAGCCAAACTGCGGAGCAGAAACCATTTTGAAGTGATCATAGCCCCTAAAATAGCTTTTAGTCGGTTTTCTAAACGTACTATCTAATACCGTTAGGTTCGGTAAGCGCTTGGAATATGTACACTTACTTGCTTGACCAGCTATTCCTGTATCTCAGCTCCACAATATGTCCCTGAATATCAGTTGTCTGGGGTGATCAGCTTACGTACTATCCTGGATGTTTGCTTTATTGGGGTGGGGGTAAAAACTGTTGGTTGTTCTAGTTCCACTATTCACTCCGCCCATGTTTTGCTGCAGTTGTCTCTTTTATTCTGAAGGTAGTGAAATGGAAACTGAAATCGGTAGGATACGCGCAGAACTGCATGTGCCCAGAAGAATCCAGGATACTGTTACGAAATACCTTGGGCTATCTTGAAGAGATTTTTAGAATATGGTCAGAGAGAAATAGATAGTCATGGCTGGTCGGATTCTAACTTAGTGAGGCAGCATGTGCAAAAATAATACAGATGTTGAATGTGGAAGTGCGTCAACGACCTAAAGATAGCGCAACGGTCGAGAGTTCTTCGCGATCCGCAATGAAATTCGTAACCGTTTCGAACGTGCTTGAATTCAAAGATGTCGTTTGAAAAAAGCCGTGGTTTAAATTTCTATAGAACAAGTGATTATGAGACCATTTGTATACAGTTATCCTCCCATTATAGACCATCTTTGGGAAACACCAAGTGTAATATCTGTTCGGGGACGACTCCTATCGAGAGAAACATTTTCTCACAAGCTTAGTCTCATTTTCTTTAATTTTTATCTCGACCATCACTAAGCGACTACATTATCGTCCCAAGCATTTATATGTTGACTCATCTGAACAGGTTTTAGGTGAAAGTAATATCTCCGTTGGAATAGTTCTTTTGAGAAATGCCATACATACCAGTTCCGTCTATACCACTCAGGAAAAATGCCTTTAGAAAAAGAATGGCGATTTCTTCAGCATTTGCGGAGGTGCCTTTCACATCAAGTCTCTACTCAATAACTGTGTTTTCTGTTGATTTCCAATCCAACAAGGGATGTGTAGGAGGAGGCATATTACTACTACAGGTTTGGGGACAGTTCTAGGTTCCGTTTGGCTACCAATCACAACAACAGCACCGCACAGGTCTTGGAGCTATTCGACTGGAATAAGTCGGGCACCCAGTTAATCTTCGCTATGAAGCAAATGGAGGGCGAGATGGCTCAGTGGTTAGAGTGCGAATTCACTGACCGGAAGGTCCGTGGTTCGAATGCGACCACTGCCACTCGATTTCCCCTGTCTAGGGTTGGGCAGTATTCCGGCCATCGTGCTTCCTTCTGGTGGCATGGCGGTTAGGCACAGAAAGGGTGCTACAGCTGAACGCAGTAAGTGTGGAACCGGAATATGGTTGAAGACAGTGGACATCGTTGCTATGCACCAGATTCTAGATCGAATTTAGCCCCAGTCTCTTAGAGACGTTTCAGTATTCTATATCAAGTTAAACAACGTTTTTGAGGATCACTGGAAGACTTAAAAAATCTCAACCGAAATTTCATTTCCACTGCTAGCTTTTTCTGTTCCTTCAACTCGGGAACTCATAAATGACCCACGTCGACGAAAGTACGCTGATTAGAATGAGTACTTAATGCGCAGAAGGACGATTGAGCGGATCACCGAAGTCCATTCCTTCGGATTTTTCTCGTGATCAGCCATTGGCTTTGAACGTTACGAAGGAAGGATCGCCGAATATAATCCTGAGCTGAAGCTTGACGGATTGATGGAACAGCCTCGAGAAGCATTCAAAGATGCTACCGTGTCGCAGGCCATTTCCGCCTTGCATTCTGTATGCTCTTCAATTGCTCAGGGGAGCATAGACTGCGGATATTAGGTGCGTTAGGAATGCATGCTGTGCGGATTGTTGAGATTGTCTAATCGTTGCGGTGATGCGAAGCTTACTTCCACCGTCGTCACCTTGTATCGGAATTCTAAGGTCAGCTGACGCTCCTCCAACATGTTGTCTTCAGGCCTGGGTAGATGGAAGCCACATAATGAACAGTTGATTGGTTATCTCTTGCGAGAGTTGAATCAGTGTTCATGGGTCCTCAGAAGGGGCTATGCTGAAACGTTTTTAGTACTACCTTTTGAGCGGAACAGCTAGATGGCGTTTCACTTTTCACCCGCAAGAGGTTGTGATTCAATCGAAATTTATTTCCTGCCTCTGTTTCACAATAAGACGCGCAGTTTTCTGGACAACAGAACTTGATTTGAATGCTGTGTGACCGTCGTTCGAATGCCAGGTGAGTGCACGCCTTTCTTGGTTTCAAAGCGGATATCTCGTCCGAGAGTTGATTGTACTGTGAGGTTGATCAGCCGGTCGCCATTCTCACGAAGCTCATCTAGTGGGAGTTGTCCACTCATAAGGCATGGGCAATGCGGGTTTCCGAATTATAGTTGTCAGGAAAATGTCCCGGCACCGAGTTAGTCTGACCGATCCCCGGTTTGTCTTAGATAAATTGCGTACATACACGGCCATGAGGGTCAGGTTGACGGGTGATTTTTCAATTAGGGCTCCTTCATACCATGAGGATGTTGCATTTTTAGTAATGAGAGGTCTATGTACAAGACTATTCAGAGGGAATGCGTATTCTAGTTACTATCGGGACCACCGTAATGGAGTCAATGGTTAATTTTTGTCCTTGAATTTTGATGTACCCGGGAGACATGTTTCGCAGAGGCAGGTGATATCAAACTGTTGTTCGTGAAGACTTCGTATTTTGGTGCGTTGTTTCCCGAATTGCCAGCAAGCGAAAACATTTCGGCATCTAGCCTGTACTGCATCGAAGAGCTTGGGTGACCAGCCTACTTTTCTGTCGCTAAGCTAACACAGGGTGCATCGCTTACCGAGGACGTTGTGTCCAGAACGGAAATGTCATTTGGCGACATAATTGTCATAGGCGACGTCCCAAGTACCGCAACGGCTTTGATTCAAGAGTCATCTCTAAATTTTACCCAGCCTTCCTTATCTGTAAGGTAAAAAGACTATCACTGTGGTCCCTGAACGAAGTATCATTGCGACTATCGAGGAGGATGTTGGTAGCTTATGTGGCGTGGATGTTCGTTGTTATACCCTGAGCTGGGCAATTCGAATGCAACCATTCCATGACCAGTCGAAGTGACATCATCAGTGCATGGATTGGGAGCAGAATGTAGTGAAGTGGTGTGCAAGTGTTGTGCGTTGAATACCGCTGTGTGATCATCGACCAATCAGGATAACAAACCGATCAATCGTACAGAAGATCATCCCCAGCTGACAGCACGTATATTAACCCACATGCTTCGCTACTCAACGAGCAACCGATGATACATCGCCACCCTCCTCCCGAATAATACACTGATAGTTTCATCTTGGCTGGTGATGAGATGTTTGCAATGAAACTGCCCAAATCAGCAAACAACCAAAACTGTTGGATCGCGTTGGTTTAATCGGCCCAGTTCGTCTCCACAGGTATTTGCTATATTTTGTTGGTAATTGAAGTTTAGTAACCTCCCATAAACGGACGGCCAGCGGACTGTGAGTCCCGGTCGTGTAACCGTTCCATTGCGACTGCTCTTTACTATCTTTCGTTGTTTCAGGTTCCGACCGTTTCCTTACAATGGTCACGCTTTCCCGATTGGAACACACATGCCTTCAGCAGTTCAGTCCATGTATCGATATTCGTCCCCGAGATATGAGCTCCTACCAGAGATCGAGACTCAAAAGTCACCCGAACTACCATGTTTAAACTATCCAGCTCATTACTTGTTGCGTGTATTTGGTACGTTTACCTCTGATAGAAATTATCCTTTTCGCTTATTTCCAAACACTCATTTGCATACTAATTTGGTTTTGACGAGAGATTCAGTAGAATTTAACTAAATCCCTCGTTTATTATGGTCTTCAACTGAAGCTGCTGTACAAGGCCGCCTCATGTTTCAGTTGGTGAGATATACGATATATCGTAATACATTTTCTAGACGTAACACACCAATTAAAAGGTTACTGAAGACTCCTCGGTAGCTCACGACTGGTTTCGCCTTTCTTGGGGCCCGAGGTAGCTCAGTAGTTAAGGCGCCAGCTTACGGACTGGAAGGTCCGTGGTTCGAACTCAACCTCAGCATCTCGACTGCTACAGCTAGACGATTTGATTTGATTTTTTCTGGGCTCACCAGGTAGACACACTGTCCTAGTTCCCCTCAACCTTATGTTCTACGTGAATTACGTCCAGGTTGGCAGAAACTGGGAGTGCAGCTCTACTTGATGAGCCCCAACAAGGGCGAAACTGGTCGTACACTGTCTAAGAGTTTTCATCAACCTTTCCAGTAATGCATTAGGTGTAGAGATTCTTTTCGTTTTTTTAGTGATAATTGAATTTTAAGCTTATGCGGCCCCGTTAGGTGTAACCACTCGAGCACCGTCATCAGAACCGTACTCATCATTGTCTGACTATCTTCCTAAGCAAGTTCGTGAGCAAACTGTGTTAAGTTACATCGTCGCCAATAGCAGATGTGGGGCGACATCTCGTGACACTGAGATAAGCCTTGCGAAACTTGAGCAAGTAATTCCGTCATCTCCCTATTAGAAGAGGGGACTGCCAGTCTATGCTCGAACCAAGTTTGCCTATCCTTAACGTGACTAGTCAACTATATGCAAAGTCTATTTTTAACCTAGGGTATGCACGGATCCATACAATTCACACACAATGCATCGGAACATGTCGAATGATTTCTCCTAGCTAACCAGTGAACGGACCGATATAACCGGTGCGATTAACACTATAAAACCAGTGCTGTAAAGTAATTGAGGCGGAATACTAATCAATACAGGCGAATTTTTCGTTTTCTACACGCAAGCAGTTGTGCCTGGTGTGCCGCATAGTCTCCCATGGAATTCTAAGTTTCTTCATCAAGTCAACCGTTGAACGCTTTAGCGTTTATCCTTTCAATTTAGTAGAAGGCACATTGTGTGTCCAACCACAACTTATGATTACGTATGTCCAGTTTGTCACCTATTAAATCGCTAACTTCCATTTGCCGTTTATTCATGTACTCAAATCAGGCGATTTTTAAGAAGCAACAGCTCCCTACAGGGTACGCACTGTGTGTATATATTCTGGACTACACCAGCTGTCTACATAGAAGTTTTAGTCTACAGTAGTGGGCAAATGTGTTTAGCAGCACAATTTCTACAGTAAAAGGTCTGTTCGAAGTTACTGCACTCACCGTCCTTTTGGTTTTTCTCTTCCATTCAAGTTAATATATCAGATCTCTTGAACACATTGCCTATGACCACATGCCGACGTGCTATCGTCACCCGTCATCTGGTCCTGCTACTTGACTATCTAGAACGAACCCGGAGCTTTTGGTTCGCCAAGACCACGCCCCATCACACGTCGCATATGAGCAGGTCCCCCCAAGGGGTTCCTTCAGAAGTAATTCAGGTTTCGGCAGGTGGGTTCTTTGTCAGTGATTCCCGCATTGGTACTATAATCCGACACTCCTATCAGCGATTATCCCTTGCGGCAGATATGTATCTTTACCATGCATCTTATACGTTCTACACAAGATTAATCTCGTTAGATTAAACTAAAATAGAAGTAATTTCCCGAAGTTTTATTTCATTCGGGCGCATCAGTCGAACGAATCTGACCATCAGCCCAGAGGTAAAGTGCATGGCTAGTTAGTGGACAACAGCCTGTTCGAGTGATTTGTGTTCGTATGTCACATGAGAACTACTTAACGATGGCATTGTGCCTAGGACTTATTCTTTGTGTCTCATAGCTGAATTTCTGTGTACTGATGTTCGTCTTCCACGCCGATACGCATCACAATACATCTGCAGTGGTTCAAAACCTTCCAGTTTAGAAGCTTCACAAACCCCCCAAGAAGGATTGGGTCTCCCACCCTCAAAATTCTAGTGTAGAGACGATTTTCCGTGCACCATTGTCTCTTAGTTAAGAGTTTCGGGTGTTTTTGCAGCGAACTTCTCTCGCCTAAAAGATTTGTTCGTACTCCGATACTATGTTGGCTGGATTAAATGTGTGCAAAATTGTTTTAGAAAATAGAACGGTGTTGTTAACTTCCAACTAAGGTCGACCCATCACCGGGAGAGTCAAATTCACAAGAATCGAGCTGGGTTTCACCCTGGCCGGGGTTTTGTCGATCGTATCTTGTAACTGCACCACGCTTTCCGGCGATCAACATTTGTCGTATTTATCGATCCGAAGTGTGCTTTTGACTCCGCTGGTCGTCAAAAACTGTGGCAGCGCTGTGTTGCACCTGGAGATTCCGTTGCTTTTGCAGAGTGTCCTTGCGGGCTGTCGATAATTCTGCTAAAATGCATCGAAAATAATGTATTTCCTGGTGCCCTCTGTTGCCGGATCTATGGTTTGCAATTGTCATTCCATTGGTAAACGAAAGCCCCATTAAGCTGGAAAGTGAAAGTGACCAGCATAGACCTGTAGGCTCACACTCTCTGTCGTCATTTATAGGTGGGGAAGAAAGCAGGAAGGAGAACCAACAACGGAACCGGAGTTCCGTTCTTCTGAGTTCCGAGAGCCGCGCCCACGGGTGCGACAGCCGTGAACTCTATCTTTGTCGAACTGAACCAACAAACCAAGGATGATTATAGCTTAGTTCATCCAGTGAGCGGTACTGATGGTCACGTGACACTTCCTGTTTGTCAGTATCGTGTGATAATTTTCTGAACCAACTAATTGTTGGGATTTAGCTTACGGGTGAATCGTTTTTTGCTATCACAACTTGCCGAAAAATCTTATTCACCAGAATAATAACTTCACCCATCAACATCTCATTTGTTCTGTTGGGTAAGGTGCAACTTGATCAAATATTTACGTTTATTGACGAAATCTACTCATTCGCAAATCAATTTGTTGTTAACGGGAAGCTTAACTAAATCCAAGCTGATTCCCTCGCTGTTCGGCGACTCATTGTGCTGCATAGAGGCCGTCTCGTCTTTCAGTTGATACAAACTTCCCTACATAACCCCATACTTATGAGATTGCTGGAAGCTCTCATACACTTCATTCTGGGGTCTCATCGAGTTAACTTAGTCCGCGGTTTTCATCTGCCCGTGTTCCACTTGAAGACCAAAATTTACGTTTTTGGAAAAATCGCTTATTTACACATTGGTTTGGTTTTGTTGGGCATTAAGAAAGACGAAACCAGTGGTGGGCTGTCCAAGAGTTTTCAGAAACCTTATAAGTGGCGTGCTACGTCGTGAAAACATTTACGTTTTTTTCTTTACTTTGAAAAGGCGAGCATGGTCGATGGTAATTTGGGGATAAGTGATATGACTTGGCTTAACAACTCCTTACACAGGGATGGTTCTCGAGGAGTAAACTGCACTGAGTACACTGCGCCACTTCATGCATATGCTCAAGTTTTGTTTTAGCAATGGTCTGTTTTCAATACCACTGTTCCCTATTGTAAGGTCGTAAGTATTTAATAATCCGTCCATGTGTTTGACCTTTTTTCAATTTACAGGTTAACAATCTTGTCAAATTGATCACGATGTTACTCAGTTTACATGTAATTCAAATTATTACGTGAATCTCCCCTATGTTGTCAAGGTAATCGGTCCAAGATGCAGACGGCCACTAAAACAACATCTGAGTCATCCAGCTCTACCGAGCCTCAAACTGAAATTTCGGATCGTACGCGACGCGCCCTCAGACGAGAACATCCTATCGCGGTCCAGTCCAGATCAGTTAAAATGGAAGAACATGCCGTCAACGATCCTCCCGTTTCTCCATCTACTTCGAGAAGCGCAAGGCCCACAGCTCCTTATCCACTCCGTGAGATAAGCTCTTCTAGTCCTCTAACAGAATCCCGCTCTCGGGATGTTCCCGTCCGATCAGGCGAACCTGATCAGGAAGTACGTCAACTCCGCAGACGAGAACCAACTGAACTGGGAGTTCAGAGCATTGTCAGCCCCCGTCCTACACGCAGCAAGCTCCCGGAAAATACTAGCGTTTTAAAAGTCGACGAGCCTGTTCGGATCACACGAAATTCTCTTCGGTTGTCTGAGGAACCCGCAATTACCCGAAGGAGCTTGCGCCCACGAATGTGACTTGGTTCCCTTTTCGTCCTCATACACGTGTTAAATATTCTTATAACATTTCATTAAATTTTCTTATCTTCCATAAATCTGTTTTCTGTGTGCTTGACGTTCAGATTATTGACAAGCTCTCCTGACTTATCGAGACAATTGATTTGGGAAATGGACTAGGATATGACCTGGTACCCTAAAGTAATGTGTTTAAGTCCCTGTCTGTGTATTGCTTTCTCCCGCTTTAACATTTCGCAGTTCCCTCCGTCGTTTCTTCTGAGACACACTTTTTGCAGCCTATATGAGCTATCCTTACATCAAACGTTCATTCCCAATGCCTTTATGTTGGGACAGTGTAGAAATTGCGTGTGAACCTTGAGTTTTCGGCCCTGGTTTCTTCTACTGGCCGATTTCTATCATGTAGACTGATCAAGTGAGCAATGATACAGTCGGTTGCATACTGTCCCCTCCAACTCCTGAAAGAATAACCTACCTATTCTCTCCACTCGTTTGGTGGAAGTTAAAAAAAGGAACTATATTCCTCAAGTTTTCGCGTCATAGTTAACTAACCGTGAACTAATGGTTGATCAGATAAACGCACTCTGGATACCAATATGTCGACACTGATAACTGCCTTTTCAGTAAACAGACGCAGACTCAGACTGATGCAGTTTGATTTGGCGACCATTTCTGGTTTGGATACTTTACATCTTAACTTTCAAGTTTTCACTGCTTTTGTCCTTATTCTGTTTTCTTCTTGGAAAAGGTAAAACCGCACCGGGTGTTAACATTCTGCCCGTAGCTCATCAGTTAACACAAGCTGAAATGGTCAAGTTACAGTGAAATAGTTGGCGGATCCGGTTGTTATGAGCCAATCAAGCTGAGTCCTCCGATTCAACTGATAACATAGGGCCTTACGTTCACATACTCTGTCGTTTCAGAATGATCTTCATTACTCCAAGTGATTAGAGTGCGAATTTACTGACCGGAAGGTCCGTTGTTCGAACCTGACCGCTGCCTCTCGATTTCTCCTGTCTTGGCCTGGGCAACCTGGCAGTATCCCAGCCCTCATGCAACCTTCGGGTGACATGGCAGCTAGGCACGGAAAGGGTGCTACAGCTGAACGATTCGATTCAATACTCTACTTGAAATTACCACTTTCTAGTCCATTCATTTATTTAATCGCGCTGGATTTCGTAACTCTTGAAGGGTACAGAATGTTCTGTCCTTCAAACACGACATGTGAATCCATGCCACCTTGTCTCACAAGTCTTTATTGGTTGAAAATTGTATTTCAGTTACCTCTCCTTCGACCTCGATACAATGGGTTCATGCTGGGTCGCTTTATTCCGAAGACCCGTTTCTCACATCAATGTGCCACGAATTCGTCTTGTGCTGAGGTGAATCCAGACATTGAACCACCACTACGGAAGCACCGTGACCACACTTCAGTGTTGCGTGCCCTATCTTCTTGTGTACAACCCAGTGAGGATGCCCCGGACTTCCGAGTCGGTGGAGATCCTTGGTTAGGACACACGCGTCGCCTGAAGATGCACTTGATGGCTCGAGCAAGAGGACGTTTGGCTGCCCGTCTAGCCATACGTGATTATTTTCCCAATGACATTGTGGGTGTTGCGAAAGAGGTTGGTGAAGGTTTTTAACCATGCAGTTCTCATTCACATCTGCAGTTGCTTTCTATGCATTTCCGTTTCATAACCACCATTCGCTCGATGTTGGATATCATCGTGGGTTGTTTCACTTTTTGCGATCATTTTGATCGAACTTCCACACAAGATGCTGAATCTCTAACTGTGTTGGGGTCTGAGGATGTCTGTAGGACATCCAGACCGCCAGCGTTCCGTATAGCAGTTGTACGTTCAGCGTTGTTGTTTACGAATAACAAAATTTCGATCCATTTTCTATGGCGCTCTATTAGTCTGAGGAAGTTGACTATCAGTGTTTTTGTCAATTGAAATTTCCCGTAACTGGGGTCGGGTTGAGCTGAATACCTCATTTGGAAAGCAAAAAATACCGACTACTTACATACTTGAAGTAGTTTGCTTAGGAAGGGAAAACCCACAAATCGTACTGGACTCCGTCTCTTTGGGTCCCACGTTTAAAGAATGTTAGCGCTGTATCCGGCGTATATCCTCAGGCAAGTAGAAGAATGTATCATGGATTGAAGGACAGGAGTGCATTTGTCATTCTCCCTTCGAACCTGCGCTATGGCCTTTTGGTTTTTACAGGGGTCACCTGATACCAGAGTTCACCCATTCCTGTACTTTAGGAAAGCAATCAATCGCCTTTTACAGTTGTGCGAATTAAAATCAGTGAAGGCTCCGGAAGTAATGTGCCATTGTGTCTAGACATTGGATGAGTACCATTGTCGTCTATCTAAGGACCATGTGGTTAACATGAATCAGGCATCCAATACCTTGTTAAATGAACGCGGGTTTGAAACTCGCGAACATCTCCTTTTGCTTAACGTCCCTCAAATCCATGATATCTGACGTCTGTCAATATATTAATTTTGTTTTAGCTAGCATCCCACCCCGCTTTGTGTCCCGTGAACCAGAACCTCGTGATGGCGACACCGAAAATCCGTACCTCTTTTTCATTTTGTGCCTCTACAGGTGCCCCGCATTGAACGTCTGCTACCAATCACAACACCAAACGATGTGCTCAAACGTCATTCTGAAGGCAAGTTATCTGCTGTGGAGGCGATGGATCGATTGATTTTGCTCCTCGCACCGCAACATGCATGGAAACTGTACAATGAAATAGCTCCAGTGAGTCCCCTAACGTACCAGCCAATTGTGTGCACCAATCCAAAATGTAGCTCTTTCGTGTAAAATTGACACGCATTCATCCTGAAAGACGATGCTTGATGTCGCTTTCCGCTTTACGTTACCCTCCCGTTACCTCCCGATGCTAATAAAGGCGTTAATCCATATCTCACGGTAGCGAGAGACGAATTAAGAAACCGACATCAATCTCATCGATACATCAAACCAGTTTTGACTTGGTCCTGTTGGCATATGGCTTTCTTCTGTATCAACCTTTTGAGCCAGGAGATTAATGTTATTTGAACCTTGCTCTTCTGTGCACGTACTAGAACGCGCTTCAGATGAGCTAGAGCTGGAAAGGACATCACAATTCACTAAACAACATGGCGAATGGAGGCTAGAACCTCCCAGCTGTGGGTTACTGCCCAGTGTAGAGTACTTTGACGTATTCGAAAAAGTACACTCGTGTGACACGCAAAATTGCAAGACAGAAATTGTTAATTCTTGAGGTTTATCGGTGAAATGCGGTACTATATGTATAAAAATACGTAATAAAAGGGCTACAAACCTCAAATTATGGGATTTTATGTCTAAATTGTTGCAAGAAGTAGTGCAAGTCCAAAGAAAGCCCAGAGAAGACGGCAAATCGATCTTAGTTGGTGACACACGCTTGCGCACAAGTTGCGGTAACGCAAAGTGGTCAAAAAGCGCGCGTAAAAGATGTCGACCAAATCGGTTCGACATGTTAAGGGTTAGAAGTTCGTAAGGGATAACAAATGCATATCGAGTCTATGAGGTAAACGCAGTAAACAGCAGGCACAGACGAGAGAAGGGTTTAACTGGGGTGGAAAGAAGTTCACCCAGGTGACCACTTTTATGGCATCCATGGTTAGAATCCCTTCAGCAAATGACACAAATGTCCATAGTCAGGAAGGCGCTCTCCCCCATCACCTGGTGATTGCATGCAACATCGACCGTCGCACTGTGCTAAACTTTACAGTGTGGTGCTCACCAGCCGAAGCAAAAAATAGATGTAAACGCAAAGCACATGTGCGCACGTGTCGTGCACACAACTATGGACGACTAGCCACATCACCCCTTCATGGATTTGCTCTCACCTTGTCTGTTCGTACTCTGTCCGCTGCATTGGAAACAAGACCCTGCGATCTACAGTTGATAGTCGTAATGGGGCTGCCGACGGTAGCTAATGAAATTCAACCGATTAGAGTATCTCGTCGTCACGTAATCAGTGTGTGCCGTACAGCTTAGTGGAACTTGGTCGAGGGACAGCCCACGCGGTATGCATGGCACAATACAGACAGATAGGCGCATAAAGTAATCAGTGAGTGAAACAGAAGGAACGATTCATACAATTGCATGTAAAGTTAGCTCATCCGAAGAGATTTATTGCGAACACTAAAGCCTGAATTACACCACATGAACTGGATTGGCTCTTTGGGCAGTTTTTATTGTGCGAAATGAGATCTTGTGAACTGCAAGGGATCCATGCTCTTTTACGCTGGAAAGACAGTCCTCGTCAGTAAAATTGAGTCTTACGCAGGAGAAATAATTGCAACTAAAAATTGGTACACCAAACGTATACACTTTGCATGGGATGTGCGGACGTTGCCTGGGTTCCACCATTTAAGTTCATTCCTTTGAACTGCACCTTCAAAGTCCACGGAATACCTGTGCTGATATGTCTTCGAACCTGACCCGCGGGTCCTACTGCTCCCATCTTCTGTTTGCCACAGTCCTTGTGCCCATATCAAAACTGATGTATCCTCTGCTCTATTTCCCAGTTGTGAAATCCGTTATACTGACCTGAATTCCACAGAACACTATCCTGTGACTTCATGTAACTTGAAGTAGAATCTGAGAGGCGAATACTCCACTCGACATTTATCAGCTTGATTCAGAGATGCGCCTGAAATTATTCAAAACGAAGCCACTGTTTTGTGGAGTGGCATTACAGTATCACTGCGATCGTCATTTTAATATGCTCTCAGTCATCCAAGTTTTCATTGACAGGCTGTTGATGCTAAGATCAGTTACTGAAGTTCTTAACTACCCCGAGATGAATCGAGGAGGTATCTTTTTGTCACACTAAGGAGCGAAACCGTGATCTCTCTTGGATATCCAGTCAACTCAGTTCGCAGTTGTTGCCTCTGTGTAACTCAATACAAGTCAACTGTATGTGCCTTCTGGCCATTGAAAGCGAGCATAGCTTATGTTTTTTAAGTTGAACAGTCACACTTTGCTGGTGTTGTCGTTCTGGTGCTAAACTGATTGGTACGCTACTGTGATTCATAATCTTCAGGGAACAAGTGGGAAACCCTACGATCGAGGGGGCCGTAATCCCTTCCCCTACATTTCATTTTATAACACTATAAATGTTGATTATTGTCTAATGAAGCCTGTTCGACTGGGCTGAATGACTCGCAGCTCATCTTTTAGGGACGAGAACCATGTACGGTTCGTTGTGGTTGAATTAACAGTCTCAACTGATCTATCCATTTTCCCACTACTTTGAAGTGTTCTTCCTGTTGGTTGGGACACTCAGACTCACTTCAGTTGGACCTACGTTCCGAAGAGCTTCTCATAGCTCGCTGTGGCTCACAAGCCGTGAGATACTACTTTGCATGTTAATTTCATTTGTTAGACTCATTGGGTGGTATCAGAAATGCGTACCAGAAGTGCACAACACGATCAGAGTTGGTGTTTGATCATCTTCGCTCGTGTAACCAAGTGGAAATCGATTACTGCTCAAAGTAGTATACTGTTCCCACTTCTTTTAAGTATAAGAGACATCTTTGTTGATGGGACGCTAAAGCGGTAAAGGATTTCCGGTTCCTCTTCGTGGTCTGGCAATCACGCCCATCACGCCGGAAATTGGTCGCGAGAGTGGAATAATTTAGTCTCTGTGTCGAGGAGAAAAAGGGGATGGTTGCCGTTTTAAAAATCGCGCGTGATCGGTAATACGACGGAAGCGACATTGAATTCACTGCTTGAAACCCACATGTCCGTGCGTATCACTCAGGAGGATCTGCGTACACAATTTCGCCTTATTCCGTGTTGGCCATACCAACTTTCTGAACGGTCTCACAACGTCGCGTTGTACCTCTATGGGCTTATGAATCGAATCCCTATAAACTTTACGTATTCGGTAAATGCCAACTTGGGTAAGTCGATTCAACTTTTAGGGTAGTAGGTAGAGAGGAGCTGACATGACTCTTAACCGATGAATGCGCATCTGCCATCTATACCTATGCTTTTCACGATGGTGAATATTTGCTTAGTTTGTAATAGTCTGCGATATACGTCATTCCACGGCATCTAATTTATCGTTCTACAGACAACACAAATCTGTTGGATGATAAGAGGGTGAACCACGACCAGGTTGGAAACTTGACGATACTTCTTCGCTTGCAGTTGAGGGCACTGAAGCACAACTATGTATCTGTTTGACTGTTTGGGAATAGCGGCACAATTTCTGGGACGTCTACCGAAAGATGTCGAAAACGGTTCTTGTTCGTCGAGCCTCATCGAGAAAATATTTTTATATATATCAAGGGCGTTTCTTCATAGGATGGGGACTACTGCTCAGTTGCTGAACTGGACTAAATGGTTTTGTCGGTACAAACGGTTGATCTTCTCCGATTCCATTAAACCCTATGCATTTATGATTAACCTTCTTGAAATCATGCTTTGACAAATGAAGTTGCTTCACATTACATCGAACCTCCATTTCTTAGGAAGAAGACTGGTCTGTGGATATGCTACATCGCCTTCTTGATCTTCTGTGCGCAACCAATGGCGGCCCAAGCGAGAGTCAACTTTTTCCGCCCAACTCAGATATGTCTTCGTTACCGGACCCACAAGAGCTTTATTTTATGGACGAGTTTTCCTCGTTTACCACAGCGGCTGGAACTCAAAGCACCACACGGTTGAATGCGTCAGATGCACTGGACAGTTCGCCCAAACTGGAGGAAACTGAGTTGGATCCGGAAACATCTGAAATTCCCGTAGAATCTGTAGAAGCTAGTGTCATTGGCTTGTGGTCTTTGCATGGGCCTGCAGAACAGCTCTTTCAGAAGCAGCGAGAAAAACTACGAACATCAGCGGCCTACTGTAGCATGATTCGTGGGGCATCGAGGTTCAAAAGTCCCAGCCGTGCCCTTCAGCTGGCGGACGAAGCATGGGCTCTGGATGAAGGCGATGCTTGCTTGGATGCAACCACTTACAGCTCGCTGGTGCGCAGTTTATCTCACTTGGATGAACCAAACATTTGGCCTTTGGCTCGTTCAATCCTTGATCGTTTCGTGTCTTCCGCACAAACCCCGACAGTGGAACTCTTTTCTTCCACTTTGAACGCAATTGCTGAAAGCACACTCAGGCTCAACAAAATCCCTCCTTCTGTGGCTCCAACGCTGGACATTATGAAGCAGTATGTAGCTGTGGGTCTTGGATTATTAGCAGAATTGCGTCAACTTGGGTTTGAGCCCAGTTTGGGTGTAATGGCTAATATGTTGAGAATTATCCACTTTGCGCACCCTTCCTTCTCACATATCAGGGCTGGTGAATCGACGGACTTCTATGGTTACTGTGCTTCAGATTTGGTTGACAGTTTTCTAAATGAATTGGATTACCGATTCAGATACATTAAGTCGCCTTTCCGAGATGACATACGTACCAGGGATGATTCTGCTTTCTTTCCTATTGCAATGCGGATTGCGTATTCGGAATTTAATCTCAACCTTGGTGATAAAATTAACCAGCTTCTTGTTGGTTCCGAAGATCGTCGCTTTTTTCTATCTACCAGCCACGAGATGCGTGGCTATGTTATATCTTATTCTTTGCTTGTGATGAGTCACATTCAAGGTGATAGAGAAGATCCCTGTCAAGTATGCGAACGGATAGACCTCCTTTATCGCACTCATCGGCAAGTTATTTTATCTACCGGCAGGCTTCTAACCCGAATGGTTACGCTTCTCTGTGAATTGTTGTCCAGTTTATCCCCACAAGATGGTTTGAAGGCTACTCTTCTACCTGACGACGGTGAGAATCGGAGAAAAATGGAAGGAAGGAATCTGGCATATATCTGTTTGTCCCGTTTGTTCATGGATATGGTCGAACAGCTTCCGTTAACGGAAGATTTTCGCACCAAGAAATCCACACCAACATTGTTGAAGTCACTCATTAACCATTCATCAACCAACCCTAATCTTGCTGTATCGGTAGCCGCTCATGTGGTTGAACGACTCAAACTATCGGCAGCAAAGGCAGCCTCTGATGCGTCGAAATACGCGCAGCCCGAAAAACGTCAGACCTACAACGATCCTTTGTTCATAGAGGATATGATCAATTTGGTTCTTCCAGCTGCCACTCAACTTATTCGCTCTGGCAGTTCACTCGGGCACACGAGCAAGCCTCAGCAACTGGCCACAAGGCGCACCCTAGCAACACTGCATGAGTGGTTCGTATATGCGATTGAACACAAAGCCGTTTCGTGGAAATGGGTTATTCCGCTGGTTGAGGTTTTATTTGAACAGGACTTTGATGTGAATGAGTAAGTAGTATTTGTCATCCATGGATTCATTATTAATGCCTTGATTGCAAATGTTCCATAGGTTTTTGTCCAAATCGATTAGCAAGTGTGTACTTCCAACTGACGGCGTTTTAACTTCAGTCCTGTTAGCCTGATGTTTAGCGAGCAACAGTTTGACGCTAAACCATAATCACGTGAAATTCCGCTCGGAAATTGTGGCAGAAGCTGTATAGTCAATTTATTAGGTGAAACATTGTTTCGACCACGTAGAATAGCCTTTTTCAAGAAGTAGGCTTGGGATGTAAACATCACGAAAGCGGATAAGCAGCAGTAGCTAACTTGGTGGCATGGTGTTTGTGCGTGGGTTATCTGCACGCGTTCTGTTGTAATGAATGGTACTTATTAAGTTTGGATTTTTGGTCATAAGCTTGGTCTGACCTAACCAAACCAGTGTGGAAAGCCGTTAACCTGGCGCCGCCTGTTCGGTTGACGCAGGAAGAGATCACTTCGGTGGCTGTGCATTCAGCATGGTATCGTTGTGTTCACATCGAGATTTCTGTTAGGCTGGCAAACCAAGAACCCCTTGGGTCACCTAGAAAGATGGCTAGTGGTACACTCCCATATGACCCGAATGAAACAATCAGTTCTGAATGTGGTTGCTGTGTATTGGTTGAGGACAGATATTTCCACCTCTTGATAAATTACGTGCAAATTTGGAACTCATGTTTGAATGCAGTTCTGGTGATCTTTTCTAGATCAGGGTTATCTGAAGCTCTTCCACAATCATCTGTATTTCACTGGAATGCTAATTAGTGTACAACTTTCCTAATTACTTGATGGGGGATCCTACTCTGCTTTTGAATTTATATGAGAAAAAGCAACACACGTCAACGGAATCGAGAAACGCTTTCAAAACTTCATGTTACGCTCCGTTTTTCATCTTGAAATCCTTTGAAACCCATCTTTTCCGTTTACGCTCACTTCTATAAAAGTCGATTGCTTTCTCCACATCATGTATACTCTAAGAGTAAACTCCAATTCCTCTAACTATCATTTTCCCAGTTTTACGAGTTCGTAATGTAGTGCACCGATTTACCGTAATGTTATTACGTGGGTTTTCATTTTTCGTCCAGATAAGGGAAACAAGATAAACTCCGTCTGTCCCATGCTGTATCCATCACATTGGTCACACACCACCTGTCGTGGTGAAAATTTTGTGTACCATTCTTTTCGCCTAGGCTCTAACACAATCTGACTATGGTACAGCGATGTTCGTGTGGATAAGACCGCCTCGCTTTGGAGTAGCTTGGGTCGTAGTAGCTCCTGTACGCTCTAATGAATGCACGCTGGCTGTAACAGGATGTTTATGGCGCCACTGACGGTACATGTCAGAATCAGTTTTGATAGTGCTTCGTAGAGAAACGAATTTAGGTTACTTCACCTGAGCAAACTACTCACCCATCAGCTGATTTCAGTCGGAGTCTCCATCTACCATGATGAGACTGTATGTCTGTGTCGTCGTTCGCCAAAAAATGAGGCAGTCTGATGCATGCACACTGCTGCACAATCGTGGAGGCACAGAACTTGGACTCTTATGCCCTAGTATCACACGTTAGCCAGCACTATTCCTGAAGGGATAGGCGGAATGGTAAGGTGAACTGAAAACGGTAGAATTACTTCCGAGGTGCCTCGTCTCAGGCTGCCGCATACATTTAGACTTTTCTGTTGCGGCAATTTACCTGAAGAACGTGTTGCAAAAGTAAGAGCAAAAGGGGAAAAAATCAGTTTCAATGCGTACGTGGGTGTAAAATTGTATATAATGCGTGATAGCGTCTGACCTATTAATAATCTTGATCAGTGATTCTACTCCGTATCGACTGACCTGAATTGGTCATATTACCACTCAGTTTTCTTTGGTTCACCATCAACAGCAATGCCAAAGAAAGCATTGGTGCTTTACTGCTGCACAACCCTATCAATCTAGTTGAACAAATCCTTATAATGGAAAGAGGTAAATGGGATGGTGAGGAGAACCTTGGGCTAGCCTAGAACAAACATCTGAGGTGCCTGCATCTTCAGCACTCAGACAGACAAACTGACAACATGAACGCCACTGATATCGGTTGGCCCTCATATCGTTCAGTCTCTCCAGACAAGCACAGGTGGTCACACGGACCTCATCCGAAACAGCACCATCAGCACATAACTGTTTTGTAACTTCCTTGATTCTCTTCTGCTTTGTCATATTCTGTCCAACTCTTAATTTTCGCCACCCTGAATTAGGCATGGAAAACAATGCTCGTCTCAGCAGGTGATAACTCGTGACCCACCCACTTTAGTTTGCAGTGCTGAATATAGTATCTGAGAAAAGCACCTCCTGTCTCAACAAAATCCATTTCCTGCTCATCACATTTTGAATTCGCTGGTTCCAGTCGATTCCAGCTATACTTAGGAGACTGGTGGTCAAAGGTCTGAAAATGAACCAGATCCTCCATCCGAAATTTTCGTGTCGCAGCCGTACAACAATACAGCCCGCACCATAGTTTGATACACGCGTTCTTTGAGACTCAGTGATGAGCCCTTTTTGACGTCACATTGGCGCAAAGTAGCAAGAAGATTCTATTTCGTAAAATGTACGTTGTTAGGAGTAGTGCGGGTGCTCCCGCAGGACATCTTTTGTTTCCAGGGACTCAAACCTGTAGTTGTCTTGCTCACAGCCGGCATCGTCCATATTGTGGACGCAGTAGACGTTAGCACTACGAACTAACGCCTCACAGCGCCAAACCTCTTCCGTTCTCTCAGGATTCAGTCTGAAAATGGTCTGAAGTTTGTCTGTCCCCCTCATAACGGATTGAATATTCCCATCTGCTCCCGCTAATGGGCAGCCACCGATAGTCTGCGGTAGTTGCGGGATTCCTTAACTTATTCACACCACAATTGGCTCAATGGTTCTTGTATTCTGACACGAACTGGGATGAACTGAACTTGACATTCGATCTTATCAGAGCTTGTCAGTGGGACTTGACCTTTCGATCATTTAACATTAAGGACATAAATGTTACCAGCGCGTTCTGGCTGCTGAATTGGTACGCCCCAGGGAGAAGTTTCATTGTTTATGAGTTTGGACCTTTCCTTCTCGTTTGGTGTGCGAGATGGCCCAAGTGGTTAGAGCGCGAATTTACTGAGCGGAAGGTCCGTGGTCCGAATCCGACCTCTGCCTCTCGACTTCCCCTGTCTTGGCTTGGGCAACCTGACGGTATCCCAGTCCTCGTGCTTCCTTCGGATGGCATGGCAGCTACGCACCGGAAGGGCGTTACAGCTGAACGATCGATTGGTGTGCATTGGACAACGAACGCGAGACAGATTTATATAGATACAAGGGAATTCTAAATAGTTGCTCTTTTGTCAGAATATGTGGACGTTTGCGAAATAGTACGTCTGCATTTCGCAAATTATTCCTTAATTATAAATTGGGTTCAAACAGAACTTCTTTGAGACACAGAGATTTGGTCTTTTAAGCGATCATTACGCACCCATCCACGCTCGATCATATTAGGGCGGATAACCTAGGGGCATAGAGCCCCGTACCTGACCTCTTTCTAGCAAATATACCTTCACATAAAGTATTCATTATAACTTACTTGAACCGAAATTCACTATCAACATCCCTATCCTGTGTGATGTAGCCAATAACTCATTTTGGCGAAAACTGTGCGTCCCTTGGGTACAAAAATTCGTCCACATCATTATCAATCGTATCACTTCAGACGGAAGTTCAAGTTCAAATGTCGGTTAGTGCACAAGCTCTGCGCGCCTCTAAAGAACCCGAGCATTTCACTCAGTTGTCGAAACATCCTATAGTTACTTTCCGTTGACGGAAACACGTACGAACTTGAGTTCTGTTCAGAAATCTCATACGAGTCTCTCCTGTTTTTTTTTGTGTTGTCATTTAATCACCCGGCTGATCATGGATATGTCTCATTCACCGAGGCTTACACGGACTTCAGGTTAGCTGGAACTCGGTATGACCTTACATCATCTTCCAGTTGACCGGACATCCTTGTGAGCATGTCGGTGCGACCAACAGGTGGAATGCTACATCGTCTGGCGCGGCAACTAGGGCGCCTTGTCCGTTTTCGCAACAATCATAGAGGAACAAGCATTTCTGATGCCCTCAACTGTTCATGCTGAATCAGACTAGTGGGCTATTGAGCAACGCCTGAGTATCGTTTCTCTTCGCTGTGAGTGCGGAGACAATGTAGAGCCTACTGTGTGGTGGTGCAACTCTATAAACTCTGGCTTTCATATCGCTTGTTTTGGTTTCTGCATCACTTGGTGCACTGCATTCTCTCGTAGGCACACTGAATTCACCATACTTACGCCCTCTTTGGCCGGCGCTTCAAATCTGTTCGGTCCCGATCACCACATGGCACGTATAACGCTTCAACTCCAAATCTGGAATTCATAATCAAGCTGAGAAAGTCCAGATCGTTGGAGGCCACATGCCTCATCACAAGGACTCCCACTTGAAGAAGTGTGTATGGGGCTGAGACAAGACCTGTTAATGTCCAACAACACAAAAATTTACAAGGTTTAAAACACTGATTAAGAAACCGCCTAAACCATTGCCGGCCTTTTCACATAACTACCCACTTCACTCAATTAGGCAAAATCATCACTCAGGTGTCGCACGTAAACTAGTGACACGCGATCAAAATGTTCGTCCTCAACTGGTCAGGCGTTCTGGTTCTGATCTTGTTGACCGCACTTCCTGGTGTTGACAGAAAAAAGTCCAATGGATTGAGGCCTGGTGATCTGCTGACCACCTGAGCGGCCCATTTCAAATAGACCCCTGGTTTCCGAACTGTTCACCGAAAAATTCACTAACAACTCGGGCATAGTGGGATGGCGCGCCATCATGTCGGCACCACATCCAACCGATTGCGCCACCCCCGTCTTACTATGGCAGCGCGTGGATCTGAAGCAGTTGTTCTGAGACAAGGCTTAAACTAATGGGGATAAAACGAAATCACTACCTTCCAGTCATGTCGCATAAGAACAAGATCTGAAAGAACTCAGCGTTCTTTCGTCGAGTCCTGCCGAAACCATGAGTATTGAAGCATGTTGGACATCAAAAGTTCTGTACTGGCGTGGATTGGATCATACTGGAATATGACGCTTGGATGTATTCACATGTAACTAACACACATCTTCATCCATATCTTTGGCCATACGATCCACAGACCATCTAAAAATGCAGGTCCCCTTCCCTAATCATCACTTTGTAGATACTACAACTGGAGCTCGTCAAGCATATTTCACTCACACTGTGTTAACGTTTTCTGAACGGTATACGGTGAGGTTTGGTACTGCTGAGCATTTCTCCGCATACTGCCTTCTGAACTCTTCAACCCAGTAGTTCGGTAGTTCGCTCGTCATTATGCGGGGTCTGTCAGTCTTACTCGCATCGCACATACTCCGAATCCTCTGGAATCGGTCCCATAGACTCAACAAGTGGTGACCCGATAACAACCGAACACCAGTGTTCATGGCGTTGAATATCCACAAAATGGAGTTTACGTTGTATCCAAACTCACGATAGGGCGGGACAATGCTGAAGCTTTGTTCGGCGGCCCGCTGTTCTGATTCAGCCATCAGGTGTACCTGCTCCTCTTCCACTGCTGCGGGACGCCTTAATGGCTGCAACGCCCGATGCACCGCTCCATCAGTGATTAGCCCGTTCATGCTGATCTCAATGTTCATTCAGCTTGGATATGATGGAACGTCTTACCGGGGTCCTGCTGCCGTGATATCCGTTTAGCCTCGGTAGGTGGGCCACATCCACGATCAGTGGATTCAGCTCAGGGATGGACGATGGAAAATATTATCGTGAATCGATTTGTCTGTTTATGCGCTGATAGTGTGTCATTTCTTAGGGATATTCGCTACCCAGGTGATCTCGTAAATAATTTCGTTTTAAGAGAATTCGCCAATCATGTTCTTAGTCCGAAACATTCGTAATCGGAAATATGCAGTTGGTGCGTACAACTTGTATTTTGAGACTCAAAATTTCGGTGCGCCATCGCTGTGTGATGTGGCGACGCCCATTGTCTCAGCATGTGGATAGTTTGTTTGAAAACGTTGGTTTGTCTGGTGCTACGTCTCTCCTTTTCACCGTATGGCTGCAAAACAAGTTTTTATGAATACTCAGCACTGTCTAATTTGATATTGCCATCTACGTGCTCGCCAACTGAATGTCCCTTGATCCCCTTCCCTGTTCTTCTATTTTTAGGGATGATTTGTGGGCGCTGTTGGGTCAGTTGTCACTTATTCCCCTCGTGCCCGATAACAGGGAAGAAGCCAAATGTGCATTGAAAACAATGGCACCTGTGTTGGCCATTCTGGAAAAGTCGGCTCCTCCGAAAACCCTCAGCATGCCAGTCATCGTACAACAACGTCAAAATATTTTGACAGCCATTCGTCGCGTGCTTAGAGAAGCCTATGAAAATGCACCAGAAGCTGCGGCTCACAGTGAAGGTGACTTTTCCGTTCACAAAGACTCACCACCACACCTCAGAGCCGGCGCTAGCTAATAAAATGCTTTGTGTCCTTTAGCGCCACTGTACACAATTACAGAATATGTAGCAACGTTTTTGCTTATGTGTATTGGGTCAGTGGATGAGTGAGCAGATTTAAAACCTTCTCCCGGTCTCCGTGCAAAAACAGGTATGATCACATCGTAGACTGTAGCAGTTCATGTGGTGAATCTGGCACAACAATTTTGACAGCTTGATGTCTCTCGGTCCTGGTGCTGCATACTGGTTCCTCACTGTCATGTCTACGTCAGGCACTGAGCCAGACAATCTGAGTAGGATTTAACAACAAGAATGTCATTACAGCTTCTCAAGCTAGGTGTACGGACAGGCACACCCCACTGTAGAAAGCGGATCGCACAGACATTGTCCAGAGTTGGTAATATTTCTGCTAAATGAACCACATCTTTGCCTGCATCATCCTGAATCAGATCTACCCAACAATTCGTTGCTACCTCTGGATTCGCTGGCCGACGGCATCGAATTCGATCCGATGCAATCCACTCTTATCCAGTTTATTGACGAACAACACCGTATAGCATGCATACGGCTGACTGCTGATTACGGGCAATATGTGATCAGGCCACTGCACTTTCTAATGTTGGATATGTTCCCTACTCGTTTTATAATTGTTTTGTTCGCAATCAGTTAACTTCAACCTATACAGGCCGTAGTTCTGAGACAGTGGCTATAATTTCATTTCTGCCCGTAAGGTCCACATATCGCAACCGTACAACAAAGGAACGCGCACTGTAGTGTGCTTTTCTCTCTCTCTCTCTCGATATTCAGAAATCTTCCACTTCGGTAGTCTGTCTACACCTAACCAAGACGATCCCGGTCCTAGAGGTCGCTGCGTGGACTACAGTCACTACAGTCAGAACTGATACGAAATAAGTGAAAGGTTTTAAAACCTCAAGTAAAGCAAATGTGATAAATCATCTAGCTGTAAAACCCTTGCGATGCCTGGTTGCTATACCACCTGAAGGTAAAGAAAAATTTCTCAGTTGTAACACCCTTCCGGTGCCTAGCTGCCACGCCACCCGAAGGAAGCACGAGGGCTGGGATACTGGCAGGTTGCCCAAGCCTAGACACTGGTTAGTAACTCGCGCTCTAACCACGGGCCATCTCGCCCCTGAAGGTATCACGAGGACTGAGGTACTGCCAAGTTGACCAACTTCAACCAGGTGCAGGCGAGATGCCGGAGTTGAGTTCGAATTACGGATCTTCCTGTCATTAATTCTGCGCTTTAACCGTGAAGGTATCTCGAGCTCAAATCACGGCCCAAATTGCTTTTATCTGGATTACGTATAATGTTTCCAGTCACTGAATGCATAGGAACATGACCTTACGCCTTATGGATGTGGGTCTATGCCAAAAACGGACCGCCTTTCGTCACTTCAAAAACCCCTGCCATCTTTTCTTGTGTAAGGCTTTTGAAGACCGGATGGCCTTATTATCTCATCGAAGGCTTCCCACATGCTGGTGTCTGTGAACCTAAGTATAAAAATACATTAAATCGAAATTTCGAGAATGTTTCCTGTTTGGTAAGTGTGCCAACAAAAGCATATGGGACTACCGAGCCGAATACGCTCGGAGAATCTAGGGATACGAAAATTGTGGATCGCTTATAAGTATGCTGTACAATCATCTGACAGGATTTGGAAACTTAGTCTATGTAACCTCTACCAGACCGAGATCCAGCTTGCTACCCTGTATTCTTCGCTTCATGGACCGTCGTATGAGGACAGTGTTTGTCCCATCGATCGGAGCACCTTTTCTCATCAAAGAGTACAAATTCTGTCAGGCATCGGTTAGAAGAGAATCCGGCAGGTGCTTCTGATACGTACCTCAGTTTCCGAACGCGGTATCCGCCGTTTGTGCACTTCCGAAAACCTTGGAGGAAAACCATACCAGATGAGTGCGTAGTCTGAGTTTACCCAAGTGTTGAGTAATAAGTGACTGATTATACCATGAGTGGCCAGTAACGATGCGCTCGATTTGGTCTCGTGACCGGCTCGTTGTTAAAGGTCACAACGTGAACGGAAGAATTAGGTCATTCCGAGGATTACTACTGGTATCCGATTCCTGGAGTCTTTTGTTTCTGTACTCGGCGAGGCGGGCAATAGAGGAAAAGGGCCGATCATCAAGATCGTTCTGAAGAACGTTCGATTAATGGCTGAATTCAAAGGCGAATGACCACCAGATTAACATGCTTTTTGTATAGTGACGCGACTGTGTGAGCGTTAGGATTAAAACGAACGAGAAACGGAGATACAGCATTACTAAATTGACAATTAAATAAAAACTAGAAATGCTACAGGGTAATATCATTTGTGACGTTGGGACGTCAACCAATCGGTACCCGCACCCGTCGATAAGGCTAAGTTCTGTAGACATTGCTTTGTACCCATTTCGCTTATCATCAACCCTGAACCCATTTTCTGCTTTCTGTGTTCCAACTTTCTCCTGGGAACCAGATTAATTTACTTCGTAGCAGTTTCTGGTCGAAGGGTTGTTGTTAGTCATGATTCCCATCAAGTAACAGAAGTATTGTGCAAGAATGTCCTCGGCGTTTTCTGCGCAACTCCGCTAATACAGGTCAGATGTGGGACTTTAACTGATTGGATCAATTTTAAAAAGTGAAAACAAAAGCGTGTTTCCACAAGCATACCATAGCAACGTGTAAAAGGCAGACAAAATAGACTGCAGAAACAAAAGCGTCTAAGTAGTATTGATGTAAGTGGTCAAACTGTGTGTCATATTAGTTAAGAACACTAAAAGAACTGGAAGTATACGCCGAGGCTGGAAGTTCTGACAACGCAACCTGCATCACAGTTCGGCTATTCCTAACGGTTATTGTTGTGTGAAGGCCAGAAAGACTTGCTTATTTGGACTGACAGTCGAGTCATCGATATTGCCCAGGGAGTATATTTAGGGTCCTCGGCCTATATGTCCAGCATTCCACACGAATGCTGTCGGTAGTTTTTGTGGTATGTCATATGATAACCCTTTAGCCAGGTGGGTCGTATAATGAGAGAATATTGGTTACCCAATTGTTGTATTGAAAGGCATGTTTGATGTCATTAGTGCCAAGGTCTGTAAATGTACTTATAACCACCTGTCAAGTGTATTGCTGCACAAGCTGTTCTGAGATGCTGCTGGTTTATCAAGCCAAAGGATTTCTCAGTAGGGTTGGTATTAGCTAATAATATTACGAAGGCTCATTTTGCCATTCTTGTTCTCCCAAGTTCAATAATTTAATGTAGACATTCTTGTCTATGGTGTGTTTAATAGTTTTTGAACATTGTCACACTTTTCAAAATAATCGGTGCCTCTAGCTGAAGAACGCTTCGCTTCTGAGAAGAGGTTGTTAGATCAAATGAGTAGGCTACTAAGGTAACCAAGATTAAAGCGGACAAAACTCGTCGGCAAAATGTGTTTCGACCAATACACTGGATCACCGGAACACCTTACTCATAAAGTTACTGAAAACCATCTGACATCCCTCGACCTGGTTCGCTCCTCTTGGGGCTCAGCAGGCACTTGTAGTCTCCGAATCGACGTCCACCTTATGCTCTGCTTGAACCCTAATCTTAAGCAATTTGCAAAGTACACTCGTTTGCTAACTAATTTGTGTAAGGTCGTTTAAAGTGTCTTGCCTGTAGTTCAGGGGTCTAAGTCTTAAGGCCGATGGCTTGGAAAATCCAATTTCATTTGGATCGAGCTTAAATCTTTGATCTTCCAACCCAGGTCTTTGTAGGTCTGTGTACTGATACAACTTAGGGGTTGAGATTGCGTAAACTTTTGGTAGTCTACGCGTATGAACCGTGGATCTAAGCCACTTTTGTTGATAAATCCTCTCCGTTTGTAACCGCATAACGCCGCGCATCGGCCTAACTGATTAGAACCGCTCCACAGACGCTTGTTAGTTCTAAGCTCCCTGTGTCGTCCATAGCCACTTCTGCCGCACCGGCCACCAGTCATGGCGTGAATCGCAGAATATGCTTCGAAACTTCTCCATTTTCGAAGTTTATTTTGTATCTATCACCATTTCTGAGCC